AGAGCTTGGATAGTGTTATTACCTTAGCACCAGGTCTGGATCTACGAAGTTCAGATTCCTCCAGGTGGGTGTTGTTTGGATCTGGCTGCTGTGCTCCACTTCTTTCTGCTGCAGGCGTTAGAGTTGAACCGTTTGTGTCTCTCTGGCAAGATGTTCTGCTCCTGAATCAGCTGGGTGGGTCTTGCCTCTAGCCTCTTTGCAGGGAGTTCTACTGAAGGGTTCTGTGCTGGGCCTGTGCTCTTGATCTATTCAGGATCCGGAGGACCCCAGGTCGTCTCACTCACTCGTCGGGCCTGCGCTCTGGGTCTATTCAGGATCCCGCCAGGCCCTGGGTCGTCTCACTCACTCGCCAGGCCTGCGCTCTGGGTCTATTCAGGATCCCCCTGCCTGGGTCGTCTCACTCCTGTCTTTTTTTTTTAGTACAGGTTGGTTTACAGGGTCTCACTACACAGATCAGACTCCTGATTATAGGTTTTCTAGGGAGGATATTTTATAGTATGTGGGTTTTTTTTTTTGTATTTTTTAGGAAGGGTCTCACTATGTAAATTGGACTCATAGTGATCTGCCTGTGTTCAGCCTCCCAGTCCTGGGATTACAGGTGTGCCACCATGCTTGGTCTCAATCACTATCTCAGTGGTCCCCGGGGCAGGGCCGGCACGCACACGGGGATCAAACCCTGGCTGCTGCGTCTGGCTAAGCAGGCGCTTTAATCTGCTGAGCTATTTGGCTGGTCCTGATATTTTTAGTTTTAACTGGTAGTTTATTTAGCTTTTCATCTTTTGTGGGCTGCTGGAGTCCATCAGGATTTGGACTCTGTGTGCAACATTTAGGCCTGTCCCTCTGTAGTTCTCTCACTTCTGAAATTTGCCCCCTTTCTTCCCAGTTGCTATTGTGCTCTGAACTATGTTCTTTGACTTTTTGAGCCAGTAAGGCTGTGAGTTTTGATCTGAATTGTGAATACTATTCCACCACTTTCCTTGCCCTGGGTAATATCCTATAGTTTATATACAGCCTCATGTCCCCTCTTACTGCTTTTTATTACATTACTCATGTCTGTAAACTAGGTATAGAATTACTCAGGATGTGTCAGTGGATGGCTGGAAGCTCTGTGCTGTCATGAGATGCTGTCCTATACTTCTTCCATTCACACTCTGTTCATGGCTCAAGCGTGTTGATCCTTGTAGATTTACTTCATTTTCACAGCTAGTATTAGACTGTAGTAGGCATGATTTATTTATTTATTCATTCTTCTGTGGCAAATATTGAGCTATTTTCTATTTTATTAACCTTTTAACACCTTGGTTAAAAACAGAAAATGCAAAGACTTTCCATGTTTTACTCCTGTAGGTAAGCAAACCATGGGCTTTCCACTTCTCACGTACCAAGACCGGTCAGATAACAAGCTGTATCGCCTTCAGACCCCACAGAGTCCCTTGGTAAGACCATACATGTATGATTACTATGACATGGACAACTATCCAATTGGGACGAATGCCATCGTTGCTGTGATTTCTTACACTGGCTATGACATGGAAGATGCTATGGTAAGTCTCACCAAGTACTGTCTCAGTCTTTTATAAGTTTTATTTCTTTAGAGTGAGCACTGAAGGAACATTTCTGTCCTGAGAGACAGAGTGTTAGGCACATGATTGTTCTATTCAGTGGTTTGCCCCTGGTCTAAGTTGAAAGCGCGCAGGCCTTGAGGCCTATTCACTGAGTACTCAGAAATGCACATACTTCTATATCCAAGTACATATTATGAGTGTTAAGAGAGTGTAGCCTTGAGTATACCTGCCTGGAAGACTTGAGCAAGGTCTTAAGCCATTTATGTGACTGGGCTTCAGCTATAATTATCAGTGACCTGAAAAATGTGGGAAGCGTTTTAAAATCAGCTACCGCTTATCCTATCCAAGTACTAGTATAATCCTTTCTGGTTTGGTTTTGAAAATCTTCCTTTGGCTGTTGGTTCTTACACTGGTTCTTTGACTTCACAGATTGTGAATAAGGCCTCCTGGGAACGCGGCTTTGCCCACGGAAGTGTCTACAAGACAGAGTTCATAAACCTCTCTGAAAAAATTAAGCAAGGAGATGATAGTCTGGTGTTTGGCGTCAAACCTGGTGACCCTCGCATCATGCAGAAGTTAGATGATGACGGACTGCCATTTGTAGGAGCAAAGCTGCAGTATGGAGATCCGTATTATGGCTACCTAAACCTCAACACGGGGGAAAGCTACGTGATGTACTATAAGTAAGTTTGGCAGCTCTCTTAGTGGAATTGCTAGAAGCTAATAAAAGTTACCTTTTAATGGTAGAATTTTGGAGAGACGCTCCCAGGCCCGGTTCTGTGGTTAAAGTCTATGTGTACTGCTGTTACACAATGCTTGAGATTGGGTAATAAAGCCAGAAATCTGTTTCTTCCAGTTCTGGAGGCTGACTTGGTGTCTGCTGAGGCCTTGTCACTCATGGAGGTACTGTGCAGGTGACCTCACATGGGAGAAGGCCAAGAAGGGGTAAACAAGTTCCCTCCCACTTCTTTTTTTTTTTTTTTTT